TACCGCCACATGTCTTTTGCCCCACAACTGGGTATTCATCTGCAAGGATATTTTGCATAACAAAATCAAGGGCGCCGCTACAAGTGGGGGGGGGGGGGGGGGGGCGTGATATAGGAAAATAAAAGACTGGTGACGTTTTTCTAAAGTCATTTTTCTTGGGCAATTCCACCATCCGTTTTTTTCCTCGTTGGCAAACTAAGTCTGATCCCATTTACCCCATTCAAATAGACTGGCGACGGTCCTGAACAAAATGAATGTACCTTAAAGCTAAATGTCAAGAAAAAAATATTGAGACATTTCTTTTTTAGATTGTCATGAAGATATTACGAATACGTTCATATTAACAATGCATCGATCTTACTACTAAAAAAGAACATGATCGCCTCAAATCAACTCAAGGGCAGTTTCAATACCGTATTGTATGACCCATGTTAGAATTTCATAAAACATTATTAATGTTTGCACATTCATAGCAGGTGGTGGACACGGATATTGAAATTGAATTTGCCTCAGGTTGATTTTTTGGAAGTCTTAGCGATCGTATTAAAGTGGAAAGCATTTCATTAAATAAGTGGGGGGGGGGAGGAGGCAAAACGCATTTTTGCCCCCCCCCCCCAAAAAAAAAAAAAAAAAAAAAAAAAAAAATTAAAATGAAATAAATAAATAAATAAACGCCCCCCATTTAAAAAAAAAAACAGCAGTAAAGGAATAAAAATGGTTTGTACGTTTTTAATCAAACAGAAAATAAATGATAATGAAACCTAAATTTAGTCACATGAAAATGATATTCCATTTTATAAAAAGTAGAGTAAGCATGCCCCGATATTTATCAATGGAGGATTTTATAATAACCATACGCGCATATCCTGGAAATATCGTGAGAGGATGGGAAAGCGTGTGTGTTTTTATTATAGGGGTGAGAAGACATGAGCCCCTGAACACTGGCGTACTGATTGGGGGAGGGACAGTTGCCCCCATCCAATTAAGATTCAAAACGTGGTTCGATTCGTTACCAGAGAAATACCAATGTTGCTAAAATAACATAATTCTTAGGGATTTTTCCTCACTTTTTAATAGATTATAATTTTTATGCGTTTTCGGAAAATTACATATTCCCACTTAACAGTCAGTCAAAAATATGTTTATTCAGAAGCCTTCGTGTCAGGGCCTTCAGAACGGCGAGCTCGGGGAGGCCCCCCTCACTTTTTCTGGAAAAAGTATGTTAAAGAGAAAAAGAAAAAAAGAGAGAAAGAAAGAATGAGTGGCCTGCCATTATCACAAATGAGGTAATAAAATATGGTCATCTGACCGAAGTTAAATGCCTAAAACCCCCGAGCTTTCTGGGGCTCCGCGCCCCTGGACCCATACCGGGGCCCTAAGACGGGCTCCTGAATGCTCATCTGACTGTAATTTAATGCCTAAAACCTCTGAGCTTCCGGGGGCTCCGTCCATTGACCCTCGGCTCCGCCCCTTGCCCCCGCTGGGGGAAAGCCCCTGGACCCTACGCCAATTTATGCTCCTCTCGCTCCGCTCTCTACTCTCTACCTGATCGTTGATACTCCACTTTGAAATACGTTCCGCGGGGCCTGCATATATTATGTAACATGTAACAGTGGTTGTGATGCAGATTTTCTTCTCCCCCCCCCCCCCCCCCACGTTTTTGCTCATTACTCTCTTTAAAAAAAAGAGTGAATTTTCAAAATCACGGACGTCACTCCTCTGGAGAGTGAAAATGTAGTGAAAATAGAGTGAACATTCACTCTTTTCTTCTTAGAGAGACCATAAAATCAATCGATTTTCACTCCTAAACAAGTGATCACGGACGTCACTCCCAAGAAAGTGAAAATAGAGTGAAAATTCACTCTTTTTTTTAAAGAGAGTACGCCACTGCCCCTGAAAGGTGAGCCCCCTAGGAGGTTTGCCCCCCCCCCCCCCCCAATCTCAAACTGCTTTTAGCGCGCCGGGTTCAGACCAAATGCTCGATGTGGTCTTCCAGAAATACGCTTCCTGTCACGGTTGTGTCTCCACAGAACGCTCGTATGAACGCCTCTCTAACGAGGTGAGTATGAATAGGGCCTCAGTTCTACAGGGAGACCGTTTCGTTGAATAATGTTGTTAATTTCATTATATTTTCACTCTTAAACAATGTTCACCTGTAATGCTTATTGTAAATTGAAGGCCGACTCCTCCATAGGTTCCACTGAATTGGAAGTATAGTGTTCCTGAGTTCTGAGAGAAAACCCTATCTTCAGGCATGATAGATGGATCCGAGAAACGAGATACTATTCCACTTGTGTTAGAACTATCATATACATAGAAATGTCCTGCTTTAAGCTTATGGAATTCGACCTTTATACGTCTTCCGACTGGACTAGTAACAAACCAGTAGTTGTTCATATTTTCAACATAATATGTAGAAGTGAAATACATAGACTGAACGGTCAGCGATGTCGTATTTTCATTCAGTTCAATGACCCCACCGGATGATGGGAGGACGCTGGCATCGTTATGTCCATCTATATAGTATGAAAAAGATACGAAACACGAAAGAGACATAAGAGATAAGAAATGTTGCATGTCGCTTGCTGCAATAATTCGTTGGTAATGCTCTTTCTTGCAAAACGGATTCTATCTAATCGTTTATATTGATATGAAATCTACATTAGCTTGGATGTAAAATGTATCAGCGCCGATTTGGGACAAAGTCATACACTTCCTCTTTTAGCATATTTTTAGGGTTGGCGCAAAATAGGCAGGGGAATAACTTTGGGCTACGGCGATGGTCGGCAATTATGTAAATTCGAGAGTTTGAAGTTTCAAGTAATCTCTTATTTCTTGTCGATATCTCAAATTTCTAAAAACCTAAATAGGTTCATAAATCCGAAAGAAAATTGGCGTGCTATGTTGTATTGGGCTTATTCTGATAACCGACTTTCTAAAACTGCTCATTCGCTTTGCTTGCTCATATCATAATCCAGTTTAATCGGCGGGGACCAGCTTCCTGTTATTGGAACATCATGGAACATGAATTAGAAAAGTATTTACCTATGTAGCTGACTTTCACGCCGAAATAGGAATCCGACACATCATTATTGTAGTAAGCGTTGAAATAGACACGGGCACTGGAATCAGATATAACTGAGCGTGGGGCTTGTTGGAGTCTTCCATAAGCATAGAAAATTTGTCTTCCTCTTGAATCATATATACTCAGGTAATCGTTGTCATCAATTAATTGCCAATCATAGAACTCCACCACAATCATCGTGTTGGGAGGACTATTGATGTACCAGTTACAGGAGGCAGACACACCAGATGGATAGGAGTTGGTGACGTTGAAGTGAGATATCGGAGAAGTCTGGTCGAGATTGATAGTTCCTCCGCACTCTCCTGGAATAGCTCCTTCGATTGACAACTCACCTGCATGGAAAGATGAGTGAATGGGCATCCATAGTCAAGGAGAAAACCACAAAGACGTGTTTGATAAAATTCTAGGCATCTAATATGGGATAAAAATTCGTGCCTGATTTTATACGATACAAAACATTACTCGCTATACAGGTCTTTTACAAAGACTTGGGCCCCGTCTCATAAAGAGTTGCGATCGATTCAAATCATTCGCAAGTTGCAGTCTCCTATGTACATAGCTGTGATTGATTTCAATTACAAAAAAGTTGCGATTAATATCAACTCTTTATAAGACGGAGCCCTGGTTCCTGTCTTATAAACAGTTGCGATTAAACTTGCGATTGATTTAGATCGATCGCAACTCTTTATAAGACGGGGCCCTTGGGAAAACCTAATTCATAATATTATGAATTTAATCAGATGTCTAAGTCAGTCGGCAATCAAAATAATTCAGATGATCGTCGTTATTGCATTACAAAGAGATCAATGCGGTGCAGTGTGCTACACGCAACCTTGTTGGATCCACATTATATTGACAAATTAAAGGTAGCTGAAGCTGAATTGACAAAAGACTTATATCCGTTTCGTCGACAAACAGCCATGCATGAAGTCTTTCGTCGAAGGCTGATTGTCAACGAAACGGAGTTAAGTCTTTTGTTAATTCCGTTTGTTGCTACGGCTGAAAGCCAGTGAAAACGCATTCGTTTAATAAAATTATGGAAATGCATGCACTACTTTAAACAAACAGAAATTTGTCATTCTTTACTCATTTTTACTAATTGAGGTGTCATATGAAAAGACAGAAACTCAACTTTTTAGAAATGTGATTTTCTCTTTGAAATTCAGATACCGTTCGCCAAATGACTTTTTGGTTTCCTCTCTTGAAATTCATTTTAATCACTCATGCGTGTAATATGCATCATATAAGTTGCATCAAAATGAAAGAGGAGGATATAAGCTTTCCAAATATGTGTCATTTATTAATTATAAATGTCATCAGGTTATGATAAAACATCGATAATTCTCGGTTTCGTTTTTTCTGGGACGCACTGTATAGTCGAGTAAAAATACTTGACAGGAGATGCAAAAGTCGTTGGTTTGATCCTCGGCACGGCAGTCATATCCTTAAGCAAGGTATTTCGTCTACATTGCTTCTCATCACCCAGATGTTAACGGATAGCCCTACCCAGTAGGATGCAAAGTCATTGTGGTTTGCTTAGCATCGTGAGCGTCTTTATTATGGCTTAATACGGAATACAACCTTTAAGCGCTTTACAGATATTATTACCCCTGTCGTCGGATTCATTCCCGCACAATGTGCACCATCCCCACTCCCTGGGGAGTATTCCTACCATATGGTCACTGTGAGGGCATAGGCAATTACTAACACGAATGCGTTTGTCATACTACCGGGTCCCCATTTCTCTCTTGGGTATTGAGTGGCAAATGTAGATTAATGTCTTGCAAAAATACTTTGCCAAACCACTCTACTACGACACTTCCAAATACGACAAATACCGAATAAACCCCAACAAAATTATATTATTCTGTTATTATTATTATTTTTTATTAGGATTAGGATTTCAACCATCCCTTTATAAACACATTGTAAGCAATATGACCCACAGTTTAGTACCTTGTAGAGTTGCTTGCATGGTCACCGAAGTCTCTTGGTAGATGTCGTCTAATGTTGTGGGTAGTTTACACGTGAGTCCACGACCACTTGATACGAAACTGTTCCCATGACGTCCACCGAGTTGGATGCCTTGGTCATTATCAGTTTCGATCCCGAGTCCGTCATAGACAATGAAGGGTTCAGTCATGGGCTCCAAAGCCACTATGTCCAGTCGAATGGTCGTACCGGGTGGACCGCGGAAATACCAAAGGCATTCGTTTGTGGCATCGTCTTCAGTCCCTCCGAGACGGTAACGCTCGTCTGTGATTTGGGCAGTGGGTTGGTCCGCGTCCAGAAGGATGACTTTCCCGCATGGAGTCGGGTCTCCACCATCTAGTGATGATCAAGAAATAACAACAAAATATACAAACTATCAGGAATAAAAAATTGTTCAATTTGTCTCCATATTTCGCTCTCTTTACAATAAAATCAATTATTTTCTCACCTCAGGGGATTCCATGAAAGATAACATTACATTTTTTAATCATTTTGATATTTAAAAGTAATATATGATTTCATTGAGACGGGCTTAAAATAATATTACTTTCTACATTGAACACGATAGTTGACGGAAACGAAAAAACAAATATTAACAAGAGGCACAATTTCTATTTCTGCTTTTGTTACCTGTGAAAACCTTTCGACACTACCTAGCATGCTAGGGAAGGGACTTCATTGTAGATCGTACACATCAAGAAATATGAGGGCATCATGATTATGAAAATATAAAATTCATCGTATACGCAAAATGTCGGGAAATGATGAACGTTATGAAACAGGTATTGAAAATCATATCGTATGTAAATTTAAAACTTATATATATATATATATATATATAACAGTGCGATAATTCTCAACTCTGACATGACAACGGGTGTTCCAGAATATGTAGGCGTGAAGAAAATGGTCTAGTAATAAACTTGTAAAGTACAGCTACGTCTCACGTTCCTAGACCATTTTCTTCACGCCTATATATATATATATATATATATATACATAAAAGGTATTGGAAGCAATAGGTCAATAAATAGACGTACATAGTTTGGTAGAATACCTAATGGACGGTGACAAAATCATTGGAAATGTGCTTCAATTTAAAATGGGAGATTCGTACATAACTGCTAAGTTAAAATCGGTGCATATCGGAAATACGTATACCGTAACAAAACAGACTAATTTTACATCTACAGTCGTTTTATGACTCAAGATATATTTGAGACTAATGGCTCATTATATTAACTGCATTTACAAGTTGGCCTTCCCTGCTGGAAAGAACACACTCATTCACAGTGTGCGCCACAATGTAAAATTGGGGCGTTTTCACATTGTGGTCTCGTCGTTCCACAGTGTGATTCACAGTATGGATAACCACAAGTTCACAATGTGACCACACTTTGAATCTGTAGTTATCCACACTGTGAAACGACGCGACCACAACACTTATTCAGACTCATTCACACTCATTCACAGTGTGAATCACAGTGTGCGCCACAATGTTAAATTGGGGCGTTTTCACATCGTGGTCGCGTCGTTCCACAGTGCGATTCACAGTGTGGATAACCACAAGTTCACAATGTGACCACACTGTGAATCTGTAGTTATCCACACTGTGAAACGACGCGACCACAACACTTATTCAGACTCATTCACACTCATTCACAGTGTGAATCACAGTGTGCGCCACAATGTTAAATTGGGGCGTTTTCACATTGTGGTCGCGACCAGACCAGACCACAACACTCATTCACAGTGTGAAACACAGTGTGAATCACACTGTGAAAACGCCCCAATTTAACATTGTGAACACTCACACAGTGAAATGCCCACCACACTGTGTAACGCCCACAATGTTAAATTGGGGCGTTTTCACATTGTGGTCGCGTCGTTTCATACTGTGAACCCAACTGTGAAACGAAGCGACCACAATGTGAAACGCCCCAATTTAACATTGTAAACACTCACACAGTGAAATGCCCAGCACACTTTGAAACAGCAAACACACTGTGAAACGCCCACAATGTTACATTGGGGTATTTTCACATTGTGGTCGCGTCGTTTCAGTGTAGATATCCACACTGTGAACCACACTGTAAAACGAAGCAACCACAATGTGAAAACGCCCCAATTTAATATTGTGAACACTCACACAGTGAAATGCCCACCACACTGTGAAACACCAAACACACTGTGAAACGCCCACTACGTTACATTGTGACACATTATATTGTATGAGATTACCACACTGTGAAACGCCCACCACACTGTGATACAAGTTTAGTTTTTGAATTCTGTGTGAAATATTTCAAACTATGAAAATGTAGTCATGTAGAGCTTAGTACGTATAAATACGAAGGAGAAAAGGTTTATAATCAATGTCTCACTTATAAACTCAACTTAAATAGAAATATACCCCCGAAACATCTGAAAATAATACAGTAATCTTAAACATATACATGTTATAGCCTTTATGAGGTAACTTAAAATGTATTTCAAAAGCTTATATTGATGTACTTTTCGCTAAAAGGACTTATGAACATATACCTCTTAGGTATACAAAGATTGCAGTAATACTATACTTACAGATAAACAAATTTTACTCTGTGAATGCCAACATGATGTGAACCAGAATGAAAACAAAGACAAATGAATCCAAACAGTTTAAATTAGATAGTAGAGATACTTCTGAAAACAGAACTTGCTATCTACAGTGAAACCTCATTATAATGAGCACATTGGTGTCCACTAAATTGACCTCTTTATATCAGATATCTTATTGTACAAGGGTTTAAAACAATGAATTACAGAAAAACGTGGACTTGTGAAATAGAGTTATAGAGGTTCCACTGTATAACATCGAGGAATAAATTACAGTGACGGCAAAAATTGCACATATCATCAATATTTCCCTGAACTCGTACTGACACTCGTAAAACATAATAAAAGCACATTAGCATGTTACGTCAGTAATAAAAATAGTTTTAGAGCATCTCTGGCAATATCTCTTAAACATTTCTGTAGGTATATTAAATTTATGAAGATACATTAGTATGGCTAGTCACATTTTCCAAGTATAGAATATCCACACATGACATGTAACTTTGGCAATTGCAATGTATCAGAAAATCTTTGGCACATACAGGTTCTTCATAAACCTATTAAAATGATAAAAAGTTTCAAAATATCTCTGTCAATACATCTTGAAAAAAAGTTGAAAACAAATCTATTTTAGGCAGACACGTTTTACTGTTATGGCTACATAAATTTCTACAACTAATACTAATAAATACCTGAAGATGAGAAAAAAAACAGATTTTGCTCATCTTTTTACAAATAAATAACCATACACTCTATATACGGTGGCACAGAAAAAAGCAGAATGGCATACAAAAATATATGTACTTCCTAAACTACATAAGTAACTTATGATTTTTTGTTCTAGCGATAATATACTGATGTTAGGATATTATAACTAGATGGAACTTCCGACTGTGCAGTCAAAAATAATACCTCCACTATCACACAATTTGTTAAAGCCCGAATTATCATCCCCCAGATCTTGAGATATCACTCCAGTCCACCGTATGGTGTATCACGTACGTCAGGTCTGGTGTCGCGAATATACAGTGCGAATTTAAAACTTTCTATAATATTCTATGAGCAGTTAAAAATCCTTCTTCCCCTTCTAACGGAGATGGAAATTTTGTACCTCTTGCTTAAAAGCTTTAGCGAAAGTACAGTTGACAAATCCAGCAGGTAGCAAGTTCCAAAGCATGATGGAATCGGGGAAGAATGACTTCTGGTATACGAGAGTCATTGTAAATTGTATTTGGAATTACTGGGTATGACCATGGTAGGATGTTAACACCGATAGAAGGTACATTTTGAGAAACTCTGAGTGCAGGTTGACAGTTCCGTACACTATCACCATCTTAAACCGTGCCCTGCGTTCTCGGAGAGATGGCCATTTGAGATGTTGCAGCATTGGTGCGATGCTGCTGGTATGATGGTGATCTCCAGTGATAAACTGGGCGTTGCGGAGCTGTACCATTTCCAGCCTGTGTATGTTGTCCTGGGTGTGAGGATCCCGCACTGTGCACGCACGCATACTCCAGGATTGGGCAAACAAGAGCCAAGTAGCACAATGCTTTCGTCCCTCTTGGGCAAGGCCTAATGTTCCGCAGCAAAAATGCACTGACAGAGCTGACTTTCTTTGTTGTTGTCTTTATGTGATCTGTCCAATTCAGGTTGCTCTTGAGGTCAGGGGCGTACGCAGGATTTTTTCAAGGGGAGGGGGGGGGGGGGGGGTTTAAATCGGGCCCAAAATTTCGCAACGACTCAGCTTTATTTTTTTGCTCCCGAAAATTTGAAAATCGCGCCGGCCGAAAAGTCGCTCAGTGGCGGGGGGTGGGGGTGGGGGGGGGGGGGGGGGGGGGGGGGGGGGGGGTAAGCGGACACTTTTTTTTTTTTTTTTGGAGACCAAAAAAAATCGCAAGAACTAAGTCAGCCGCTGAATAAGCGGGGGGGGGGGGGGGGGAGGTAAGAGGACACTTTTTTTTTTTTTTTTTTTTTGGTCTTGAAATTTGAAAATTTGACATTTTTCTTCGTTGGGGGGGGGGTGGGGGTAAGGTCACCTTTTTTAGGTTAGCCATGTGCATAATTTTTTTTATTTTATTTTTTTATAATTAAAACAAAAACAAAAACAAAAACAAAAGGGGGGAGGGGGTTTTTTTTTTTTTTTTAGGGGGGTTTACATACATAAAAATACCAAAGGGGGGGGGGGGGGGGGTTCAACCCCCTAACCCCCCCCCCCCCCATATATTATAGTTTCATATTTTGGTCTACATATAATTAGTCAAAGTCTGAAATCAACTAAATTTAAAAAGAAAACTTTCAAAACGACATACATTCAGCAATTTATTATGCTTTTCTAATCAAAAACAATTTCCCAATAGCATTGTTAGTATTATGAGCCAAGGGGCACTGTCAGTATATGTTATAGTAAAATGCCACACCAATGATGGCATCCACCTTGTCTTGGTCAAGCAACTGCTTCCCTTATTCTCCTCCTTTAATCTAAATGCTGAAACTATGCTGTCTGCCATCTGCTCATAGGTAAAGAGCATACCAATGAGTGCAAGAACAGCACGTGACCAGGATTGCTGGTGTAGCTCCAGTATTCCCAGCTGTACTTGGGTCAAGTATGTCCGAGAACCTCATGTATGGAACTGTGGAACAGAAAAGAAATGTCAAGAATTACTGAAAAGAAAAGCACGTTAACAGATTTTAATAAAATAATCAAACATATCCAGCCTAAATTTGACGAACTCCGTACGCCACACTTCGTACTTCTACGCAGATCGAGTCTAAAAGTAGTAGTACGACACAGTTCACGACCAAACATTATTCATACTACTCCTAGCTCAAGGAAACGCTAGGAAGACACATTTTCATACATTTTTAGACATTATTATTGTATATATGTCATTTCTAGTGACCTACATGTAGGCCTAGACTATATATTATGTTTATGCATTTTCGTCCGACTGTTTTTTTTTTGCCGACAGAAAACATGAAATAAATTGTACCAACATTTATTTCTTACCTGATTTATTTCTAGACCTAGGGGCCGATATACACTACTTAACAGTTTGTGTGTTTAACATGCTCAATTATAATGTCCAAAAATGTTTGAAAAAGTGTCTTCATAGCGTTTCCCTGAGCGAAGTACTTATAACAAAGATGATACTCACCATTCAATGACAGCCCGGCAGCAGCCCCGGCAACACCCTCGCCTGATAGCTATCCTAGCCGTTGGGAAACTTCACCAGGCCATGTCCGCCATTCCAATTATGTTCTCATCCGTCAACATGTAGTTGTACATATTCGTCTGTTATCACGGAAACTTGATTGGCCTCGATCCAAAACACTAGTATTCCAGCGGCCATACTGTGAATTCTATTTTTTCACAATGTGAAGTATTTTTCACAGAGTGGCCACACTGAGAAATTTACTGTTCACACCGTGAAATGTATGTCGTAAGGTATTCACACTGTGAAAATCTATTTATCACAGTTTGGTCACACTGTGAAATCATTTTCACACTGTGAGCAGGTACATTCACACTGTGAAATCGAATTTTACAATGTGAATACTGTGTGGTTTACCACATTGTGACAGTGTCCACACTGTGAAAAGGCTCCGTTCACAGTGTGAACTGTGTGTTCACACTGTGAATGAGTGTGTTTTTTTATACAAGTGTTACTGTTAGTGGCCACTATAAGGCCCCTTAGTGATTATAAAAAAAACATATGCTCTTCCTGGCTTCGGGAATGTGTCAGTTTGCAACAGAAATGGAGAAAAACGCATTTTGTTGAAAATCATGTGATATCACGAACATTTATACATCACTTGTATATGGAATTGAAAATATGTCATGGTTCAATTTTATTTGGGGGATGGCGCCCCCCCCCCCCCTCCCCCTAGCCCCCTACCAGTACGCCAGTGCTGACAGGTGTGCTCTTCGACCAAAGATCCGTCAGACTTCGTTGTTTCAATCGCTCATCGTACGACTATATACGAACTTGTGTTGCTTACATTTTTCCACGGCTGTGTTTACTACTCATGCTGTGTGCCTCTTTTAATGTCTAGTAAGTGCCTCTTTTCAGGTACGATACGTGCGCCTTTTCACTTGTAATAAGTGCCCCCTTCACCTCTGATAATTGCCTTATTAACATTTGAGAGGTGCCCCTTTTCCTGATGGTTAGTTCCCCCATTAAAACAAAGATCCCCTTCTCCTTTTCATAAATGCCTCTTTTCAGCTCTGGTGAATGACCCCTTTCAGGTAAAAAGAAGTTGCTCCTTTTCATTTCAGATAAGACTAGTGCTTCTTTCACGTCCGATAATTGCCCCTATTCAAATATGAGAGATGCTCGTTTTACTTTGACAAGTGCCCCTTTACCTTTCTAATAAATGCGCTTTTCATTAAAACAGAGTGCCCCTTCTCCTTTTTATAACTACTCCTTTTCTTCTCTGATAAGTGCCCCTATTCAAATGTGATCGGTGCCCCTTTTCATTCAATAAATGCACATTTTCCTTTATTATAAGTGCCCCTTTTTCATTCTTATAAGTGCCCCTTTTCATATCTGGTCAGTGTCCCTTCTCAGGTGCGATTAGTGTCCCTTTTCACCTCTGCTAATTTCCCCTTTTTCAATGATACGTGTCCCTTTTACTCTCTAATATTTTTCATTGCATATTTGTTGTGATATAAATATTCTTGTATTATGTTTTGCATGAGAAATAAAATCATTTGAATCAAACCTAGCCCCTTTTTACTTTTTATGACAAATGTCCATTTTTCCATTCGCATTAATGCCTTTTGTCATCCCTGGTGAGTGCCCTTTTTAAGGTGTAGTAGTGCCCCATTTTCAATTGTGTTAATTACCCTTAATAATTTGACACGTGCTACCTTTCTTTTCTAATAAGTGTCTAATCCCTATTGATAAGTGTCACCTTTTCCTCTCATCAGTAAACGTGCCCCTAATTTAAAGCACTTTCCCCCATAGCACGCTCGCTACGCTCGCTCACATTTATATATGGTATAATTATGTTCCTTATCAAAAATCTTGTTAGTCTTCCGTTATGAAAAAGTGTAATAACCCCATTAAGATTGGGGTTTTTCTGCTTTATAAGATGTAATTTTTTGGACTGCGACCTCACAAATCTTCAATTTTTACTCGCTCGCAACGCTTGCAAATGAATATTCAGACTATCACAGCCAACTGCAGAGTATGATGCTTAATGGGGCTTTCACATATACACTCCGGGGCCCGTACGGCGAGTAAAAACAGACATTTTGGGAATTTTCGGCCGGTGTCCGGCCGGTTGCCGTAAAGTTCGTACGGGCGCCGGGACAGTATTTTTAACCGTACGGGCGCCGTCGTGCTGAGTTGGCTGCTCCCAATTCTCCTGGCGTTTTTATCTGACCGTTAAGCCGTAGAAAGCCCGTAAAGGGCCAGTAGGGCACCTTACGGGTCCCATGCGGGTTCCGTACGGTGCCCGAACGGGCCCCTCACGATTTCGGGGGTCAATTTTCATGAATAATCTTTACGGGCTCCTTGCGGTGCTCAAGGGTTCCTTACGTGTACCCTACGGCGCCCTCACGGGCCCCTCAAGAGCCCTGGGTGATATGCACAACAACAGGCGTCTGCCGTCCGGGGGCCATTTACAATGAATATTGCCCGTGCGGGTCCCTCACGGCGGCATCTCGAAATGTACAACGCAGTTTTAAATACAGGAGGTGCGGATACCAGAGGACACATACAGAGTGAGTCAGAAAAAATGTCCCACTTTTTAAAAGTTGTATTGTTTGAAGTATGAAGAGTTAATCATGAGTTTCATGATATGTCTTGATAGAGTTATCCTCCCGGTACATTTAGGTACCATTTTCATTTTAATCTCTGCATGCATGACCGAATATCAGACAATCTTTCCAAGACTGCCAGATCTCACTTGCGCCAAGTTGCTAGGTTAGGAATAAAATAATGTTTTGAACAAAGACAGCCAGTTTTTTCAATTATCCAATTAGCCAAACAGACAAAAACACACGCACACACGCACACACGCACACACTCACGCACCCACCCACACACACACACACACACACACACCCACACACACGCATACACAACACACACGGTGAGAATTGTTTCATAATTACCCCTTTTCTGATTGAGCATTGATTTTCATCAAGATCGCTGGCAAAACCCTAAAAATCTTTCCCTTTTGTACACATTCACTACCACCATCATGTCATCATCATCATCATTGTCATCATCTTAATCTTCATCATCATCATCATTATCATCATCATCATCATCATCATCATAAAGCACAACATCCGCACCAAGAGGACAGCGGCCACTCAACTTTTCGTACGACAAGAAGAATTCCCGACAAAAAGTAACAGTTTGGGTGGGCCTTGACGGGAATAGAATGCTCATTTGTGTGTGTGTGCGTGCGTGTATGCGTGTGTGTACGTGTGCGCGTGTCTGACTGTCTTTGTTTAATGCACTGTTTTATTCCTCACCCAGTAACTTGGCGCAAGTGAGATCTGGCAGTCTTGTAAAGATTGCCTTATATTCAGTGATGCATTCAAAGATTCAAATGAAAATGGTACCTAAATGTACTAGGAGGTTAACTCTATCAAGATATATCATGAGACCTATGATTAAATATTCATACTTCAAACAATACAACTTTTAAAAAGTGGGACATTTTTTCTGACTCACTCTGTAGTTCAATGCACCGCACGGCACCCGGCCAGGCCCCGGCAGGGCCCCGACAGGGCACCTTCCAGGAGCCATCGGTACACCTGCTCATCGGACGAAGCCCGTAAGAATACCGGCCGGCACTCGGCCGGCACCCTGCCGGCACCCTGCCGGCACCCTGCCGGCACCCTTACGGGCGCCTTGCATTTCACTCGCCCAATTTTCTCCGGGCACCTCCCGGGCGCCGCAGAATATGTGACCACACATGCCGTAGAAATGAAAATCGGACGGTTCCCGTACGGTCTCTAAATCCACGGCAAGCCGCCGGGTAGGGAAAATCGTACGGGGCCCGGTTTATATGTGACCTAGGCATAATAGCATTACCTTGTATAAAGAGAAACAACTATTGAAATCACCCCTGATAATGTAATCACTAATCTAGGGGTATATACCGATGTCTAAAAAATTGTATATTTTCGGTTTCCCTTTGAGGTGCCCTTTTTTCTCCAGAAAGTACCCTTTTGCGTTGGTCCCCCCCCCCCCCCCCCCCCCCCCCACTTTGTAATTCGGCAATTATACAATAAGTTCAAAACTGATCATTTATCCAGTCGGTTGATTCACTGTACCTTATTGAAGTAAAATAAATTACAATTGTTAACATAATTCATTATGAAATGTAGGCCAAAATTTAAAAAAAAAAGAATTACGTAAATCTGAGAAACGTCTGAGCACAGAACAATAAAATTTCCAGATATAAAGACGCTGTCATGACAACTCACCTATTTCAGGCAGTAGAAGGAAAGCGACTGAAATGCAAAGCCAGGCACTTGACATCATAGCTGAAGAATTTCGCGCCATTTCGACGTCGCTGTCTGATCGCTTGTAGATAGATAAACTGTGGATCCTGTTTTACTCTCAGAACAATCTTAACTCTCCTCGAAATAATGATAGGAGTGTGCTAATTTCTCTGCTCTTATAATTAATGATTCTTTGAAGCTCTATGATAACGTAGCAACAGAGCCTAATCGATATGATTTCTATTGGCTATAAGGGTAAAATAATGTAAATTAATCATCGAATCTATCCAATCCAAAATGAGGTCAGTCTTTTTACGCAAATATATCTGCATAACTTATCAGCTTGTTCGGAGACTTGATTGGATACAAGTAAGTTAATATGGTTAATTTTTAACACAAGTCATAAGGGAGTGACGAGATGCAGAACATGTAATGTATGATTAAAGGTAGGAGGCAATTACGTTTTACCAGGCAAGCACTGATAAAAAGCAACGCTAACGGTTGTTATTTGCTAAAAATGGTCCCACAATTTCACACGCAATTATGATTGAGAAGGGTTTGCTAAAGTGTTGCAAAATGTTGAGTCACATTGAAGGTCATTGTGGGAATGAAACCTATGGGCCATGGTTATTTGATTGACCGATTCCTTCTCAGGCCTCCTGGTCTGCTCTATAGTGTCCATGAAATTATTGCCATAAAGTTATTTGGTTACTTATTTTGTAGGCTCTTTTTTGACATTACTCCTATTTACAATGTCAAATGAATAATGCATGTAATAATAATAATGGTTTACTGACAGCTGTTAATGGGTCATTTCTCATGAATTGACATAAGCGTTGAGGATTGTAAGCCAACCAATTTAATATCCCAGGGATTCGGCTTAGAGGAATTCAGAAGAAAAAAAAATTTAAAAAAATAATATTTTGTTTCTTGACCAGAAAGGATTGGGGAAAGTAGTTTACTCTTAGGTGTACCGGTGTAGGTCTACCCGATGTTTAAGGGTTTTGGCCTAACCACCATGTTGCAGGTTTACTGTTGAACGCGAGCCATCTCTTTCTTCAAAATGTGGTTGAAAATTTAAAAATAGTGAAAGGATCAGACACATGTACATTTTGTGGAGCATATCTTGGGTCTCATGGATTGATTATAATTATTAATACTGACACGGGTTCAAATATGACACCGTGGTGGTTAGGGGCATACGTGAGTCCTACTACAGCACACTCATTCAGAACATGCTCAACAGTTTGAAATTGACCACATGGACACAAGTCAGAGTCTTTGAGACCACAGAGCTTCATGCTTGCTGCAAAGCGGCCTGCACCTGATCGTATAGGCGGTTCAGCTGAACTCAGCCCTTTATTGGAAGGTTCAAAGTTTCCTATTTTACCAAAACAACGAAGGAAATAAAACATTCATGAGAAAAAAAGCACATGGCTATTTCATCAATGTTTGTTGCAGTTCAGGATTATATCTCATTACTTAATTATATTTATCTCATTATTCGTGATAAACTGATACAATGAATAATAGGTAACGCGGATAACTTAAATAAACATCATGTTCATGATTAATTATGATTGATGGCCAGTTGATTAGCAAAACTTTGTTTTTATCCCAGGCATGCAGCTGGCTGGAGTCGCATAGCTTTTCATTTGTAAAGTTGAAATAAACATTGATAAAAAGACATGATAATAATAAATGAGTAATCTTTTGATAACAATTAGAGTACACGGAGTGAACTGGGACGCGGGAGAAGTGGAACACTTCACACTTAAAATTGTAATCATCCTTTTATAATTAAAAAATACATATATTACAAGTGTTCTACTATCAATGTTTAGAAATCCATTTTTAGCTATAATACGATTTCGCACGTTGGTTTAATATCAACTTTTTCAAAACGATTTTTATTTATCGGCGTTCAGTGCCTAATGATTTACCAGTATACCAATTCATTGTTGTAACAATCTGGATATATAGGGCTGATATGACCAAATACTTTGAAATAATTTGTTTTGATTATGTAATTTTCTTTTCTAAAAAGTATCAACCTTTCTACACTACTATGTAATGCGCTTTATAAGAATATACTTATAATCATGATTAAGCATATGTCATGTTATCATTGATGAATTAGGGGAACGTGAAAGGAAAAAAGAGAACAATCCATCAATCCATCTTGGCAGGGCGCCCGAGGATAGGGGGCTCACGGGGTGCGACCCCTCCCCCTTCATTCACTCACACTTGATTATTGATGCCCACATAACAATACATACATGTATAGTGCTGGATACTTTGCTCACACTTTGATCATCTCACTTCTGTTAATATAGGCATTATAAAATTCGATCCACAGCTACCGTTGAGAAAATTGAAAAAATTTGTTTTAAGATTTGTATCCCTCTTTCTCCCTTCCTAGCTGTCACGCTATTTCGCTCAAACTTTCCATTCCATTCTCTTTCTCTCCAAATCCATCCCTCTGTCCTTATAATTTATCAAACTCCATCGTTATCTCTCTCTCTCTCTCTCTCAGTCTCTGTTTAGATTACACAAACCTATAATGTGAGGCGATTGTTGTTTGTCTGCATATGCTACGTTTACACTATGTTCCCGGCGGCCACGGCAACCACGTTTCAGGCCACCGTGGACGAAACGGGATTGACGTGACACAACGCGGGGGACCGTATGGGCAAACGTGACAGGCCGTGATTGCCGTGGATACCGTGTCAGATTTTTAAACTGTCAAAAAATTTGCCACGGCAGTCACGGTGCGGATGAGAAACCTAGTAGGCCGTAATAAACCGGGGTGAACGTAACAAAACGTGACAGTCCGTAATAGGCCATAACAAAACTTGGGGGTGGTCCGTAGTGGGACGGTTTAAGCGCCCGGCACGCTACGGCGCGTAGGGTTCTACTACGGTCTGACACAACGCGAGGTCTCAGAATACCATGATTGCTATTGCTTGGGAGACCTTCTTTTTATACCGCCGGCACAAACGTGCTCCAAAGCTGTCCTGCGTCCACGTTTCATCCGTACGAAGCCTTGACAGAACGTGAAAAACGTGTCAGACCTTGATCAGAACGTGGGAAACGTGAGGGACCCCATCAGAACGTGACGGGCCGGGAGGAAACGTTCTGGCATCCGTGGTAGAACGCGGGCCGAACCGTAGTGCGCCTTGGAGCCTCCGGGACTCAGCATACCCTTCCCCCCAACGGCCCGTCACGGATACCGTGATAGACCGTGAGAAAACTTGGCAAGACGTAACAAAACTTGAATCTAGAGATAATATTGGTCTAAATCCCACGGCGCACTACGTTTCGGGCAAACGGGGCTGCCGTGGCCGCCGGGAACATAGTGTAAACGTAGCAATATCGGCAGGATCGGAGGAGTGTGGGCGTTATACGTGCAGTGTGCGCGCGCTTGCATTGCTTGCTTGCATAAACGACTTTGGCGAAAGCGAGTATTTTTCACGTTGACATAATTCACCTCCCTCTCCCACTACATCTCTCCTTAATTACTAACCCCATCCCCTACATGCAGTCATACAGTATTCATGCACTAAAGGCTCTGTACTTTAGCCGATTTGACACAGCCTAACCAAATACTGACATTCTTAGGCTCTGCTCAAGGCTTTAGGAATTGTGGTACAGTTAGAGTCTGTGCATGGAGACTAAGTATTCTACGCTATTTATCCTCGTCTGTCTCTCTCTCTCTCTTTCTCTCTCTGTCTCTCTGTATCAAACTCTTTGTGGTAAATGTATGGCATGTTGTTTGCATTTTTGAGAGTCAAAGAATCGTTTTGAATTTCTTGAGATACTTTAATTAGCTGTCTCTCTGCCAGTGCCATAATTATGTCCTTAACCAGCCTTTATTCGAAATTCAAAATAAATTTTGAATTTTCTCATTGAATCATGTTTAAAAATAAAGAAGAAACAATCATCTTATGATTTGTCTATTATTAGTATGGTAATTCACACAATGAGAGGCGGAATTTCCGACACCGACATCCACGTAGGCAATTAGTAGGGAGTACAATTCCCCAAAATGTTATGGGGTTAGAAAACCCTACATGGAGGGGGAGCACTTTATACCCATCGATCAATGCATGTTTCTATCCCTAGATGTTTTTTTTTTTTATTGATGACGAGGAAAATGGGCGTCTCGCCCCACTTTGACCAACCTATGACAATAAAAAGCCTCCTGCTGAAGAAAAACAAAACTGACACCCCCCGCAAATGGCAGTACGCTGATGCTTGATATGATTTAAAGTCACGAGATCGTTGGCAAAAAGCCAAAGTTTCCACAGACGGCAGAGTTTCCATTTATATCCGTGTAAAGGTACATGCATTAGGAATGTCTTTAAAAATCCATTTATTCTACATATAACGTAGCTCTATACATGAATATAATTTCTTAGGTTCAAGGAAAATTACCCTCTAGAAATTCACACCCCGACTAATTACCAGTGGAACAAATAACCCACAAGGACAATTATCTCCAGAAAATTACCCCAAGGATATGTGTGCAGTGTATGTGCTTTCCAGCAGGACTGAGTTAATTTGTTATAATTTAATTGATTTAAAATCCTCATTATATACACAATTCCAATGCACTACATAATTATTGGTTCGTAAGAACCAATGACAATATGTGTAAATTACTATTCGCTTTGTTACTCTGAATTTTAGTTCGTAAGAACCAATGACAATATGTGTAAATTACTATTCGCTTGGTTACTAAGATCATTCTTCCCTTATTCGTCTGTTTTGTATTGTTTGTTACTTTGTTTACATTTCTGTGCACTCGTTTATAAAAACGCAATACAAAAATGCTGAACATTTTGCTTTTGATGTTTTTTATTAGTTGATCCGTGGACCTAGTAGGTCCATGGTTGGTTGTATCTGTCACACTGTTCTCTATTCGATAAAAGGACAGTACATGGCCTTCCACTCAAGCATTCACTTAATTGATTAGTAAAATGTGAATCATATATGAGAATATCCGCTGGTTACGAAAGGTGTTGTTTATCTATTAAACTTATTTCAATCTTTTTCATACAGGGTGGCCCTTTCAATGTCAAGTTTTGACTTTCCAATGGGACCTGTCTGTACAATTACAAAACCTAAAAACGTTACATATAGAACATGATGAGACACAAACATTTAAAACAAGGAATATAAAAATAATATAAAAATAAATGGATATACTATAAATATGTATAAAAATCAATTGATAAAAGTTGAATTTCAGAAGGTATTTATAATAGTTAGCTTTTTACATCGCCTCTTGAATGATAGGGAGGATAATGTACGTAGATCGGGTGATGGGGTGTTCCACAGGAGGTATCCTCAGTAGTGAAGGGATCTTTTGAAATAAAAAGTTCTTGGTTATTTTTCAATGAAGAGGGGGGAGTGTGTCGCAGGTCTCGAGTATTATAAAATGGAAACCTTTCTAGGAATAATAATTGGTTTCGGATACAAAGGAATGAGACCATTTCAGTTTGTATAAGTATCTGGACAAGTTTGGTATCACTTGACTCTTTGACGAACTGATTGCCAAGCAAATTCAGATGACTTCCAATTCTGATTTTTGTAACTACCATAATTATTTGAAATTCAGGTAGTATCTCGTTTGTGTGTGAAAATCAGTAGTAAACATTAAAATAAAATGCTGGTCACAGAAACCTTGAAAGTGGAAAAAATACCTTTGACTTTGTAATGTTATGTTTCGTTAATACAGATATATATGAAGATATATATGATTTAAATTATATTTCATAAGACGATGATAATTTAAAACGTTATTATTTAAGCGATTTAATTCATTCATTGAACACAGTACTATACATGTATACCATAAAAACAAATAAGTTTCATATTATTGTTGATATCGTTGGTACTGTACTCTGTATTATACTTGAATTACTGTTTAATTTGCCAGCTATACACGGTATATACAGTGCGTCCCAGAAAATAACGAAATCTAGAATTATCGATGTTTTATCATAACTTAGTCACATTTGAAAATAATAAATGACACATATTTGGAAAGCTTAGATCCTCCTCTTTCATTTTGAGTGATTAAAAGCAATTTGAAGAGAGGAAACCAAAAAGTAATTTGGCGGGCGGTATCTGAATTTCAAAAACAAAATCATTTTCAAGAAAGTTGAGTTTGTACCCTTTCATGTGACACCTCAATCAGGTAAATTAAGCAAGGAATGACAAAGTTCTGTTTGTTTAAAGTAGCGCTTGTATTTCCATAATTTTATCAAACAAATTCGTTTTCAATAGCTGCCGGAGCAACAGGCAGAATTGACAAAAGACTTATATCCGTTTCGTCGACAAACAGCCATGCATGAAGTCTTTCGTCTACGGCTAATTGTTAACGAAAGGGAGTTAAGTCTTTTGTTAATTTCGTTTGTTGCTCCGGCAGGAAGCCAGTGAAAACGAATTCGTTTTACCGGTAATACAATTATGGAAATGCAAGCACTACTTTAAACAAACAGAACTTTGTTATTCCAAGCTCATTTTCCTGATTGAGGTGTCATATGAAAGCGCAGAAATTCAATTTTCTAGAAATAGCATTTTCTCTTTGAAATTCAGATATCGCCCGCCAAATGACTTTTTTGTTTCCTCTCTTCAAATTGCTTTTAATCACTCATGCGTGAAATATGCATTATATTACTTGCATCAGATGAAGGAGGAGGATCTAAGCTTTCCAGATATGTGTCATTTATCAATTATAGTTGTGATTAAGTTATGATAAAACATCGATAATTCTCGGTTTCGTTTTTTCTGGAACGCACTGTATATATATATATATATATATATTATATATATATATAATACTCCCTCACTCTCACTTTCTCACTCCCCCTCCCTTTCTTTCTCTCTCTCTCTCTCTCTCACTCTCCCTCTCTCTCTCCCTCTCTTTCTCTCTCAATGTCTCAATATCATCGCGTGCCTCTGGGCAACAGTGAAGTATTTCACTTTTGCGAACCCTGGCCATAGGTAACAATTTTTTTCCTCTTCTCCTCGCTTCTCATTTCCTTCTCTTTCTCTATTATTTGATATATTATCTCTCTCTCTCTCTCTCTCTCTCTCTCTCTAATCTCAATAGATCAATATCATGGTCAATACAGCTGCAGAAGGAAAATAATAATCATTATTAGATGCTATAATATTGAACGCTTCACAAGTGTTTGTATGAGTTCAGTTATATACTTTTATTTAACGAGTCTTCAAAAATTCAGTATAAAATTAGATTTTAATAATTCGTCAGCATTTTCATGCACCTTTCACTGGCTTTCAGTCTCTTGTATCTGAATTGTATGACATTATTGTAGTCTCTGGTAAGATATGCTTATGTCCAAGGAAAGACATTGGTGACTATTATTTGTATATTTACACAGGCAATATTTTAAAAACAAATTCTACACCTCGGCGACATCATTGATCGCGATCTCGACCACGTCAGGTGGTGAAGATGTCGTTACGCTTTCCGTCGTTGGATGCTCCTTCTCCTCACTTTCATTCTCACCCCAACGTCCTCGGTTACCATGGGGCCGACGTTGGCCATCACGCCTGGGAGATCCTTCCTCGGTTCCGTTGCGTCTGCCGAAGGGACGGTCTCCGAAAGGCTTTCTACCGAAGGGGTTGAACCGAAAGGGCCTCATCTCGAACATTGGTCTGTCCTGATCTCCATCTCTGGTCTTGTTGTGATGACGATGGGGGTGGTCTCCCGTCTCATTATGACCCTGGTGACCTTCTGTATGGTTGCGTCTGCCGAAGGGACGGTCTCCGAAAGGCTTTCTACCATGATGACGACGTCCAGGACCATCAAACTGACCGGGCCCTCCTAGACCATCACCAATTTGTTGGGCAGCATCAGTTTCTTCTTCTCCATCACCACGCCTGCCTCCTTGGCCGAAGAAAGGTCTTCCTCCAGCACCATCTGGTCTGGAGCCACCAAATCCAGGTCCGTCGAATCTCCTACCACCCATCGGACCGCCATTTTGTCTGCGTCCATCCATTTGTGGGGCACCAGATTCAGGTCCATCGAACCTCATTCCACCCATTGGTCCACCATCTTGCCTAGGACTACCCGTCTGCATTCCACCAGGCCTTCCTCCAAAGCCACCTTGTCCTCTCTCTCTGCCATTCTCCTTTCCTCGTCGTTCATTGAAATCTCTTCGTGCGTGAGCTGTTGGGATAATGGAATAGTCGAATTTATTAATAAAATAATTAATCACATTCTGCATTATTATCTTTAGCTCTACATTGGTTTATGCTAGGAGATTTGTCTTCTTCGATGTCTGGTCCCGTTATGTTTAACTCTACCAGAATGCATGCATGCGGTTGGATATTCAAAACGCCTAATTTTAACCGAATTGAATTTGAAAACCAGATTGTAAAGTACCATGAAACATTTTTTTCATAAAAAAAACAGAATGCTGCAGGCCGCAGAATAAATGTTATTTTTTATTGTGTCACAAACAAGTTCAATATACCACTTATGAAAGAATACCGAGTAATAATTTGATTTCTTACCCGAGATAGCAAAAGCAGCCACAATGGCAACGATCAGTGTCACTTTCACCATGATAGTAATAGGTCTCTCCGATGCTATAGCTTTCTATAGGTTCGTAGCATTCTATAAGAGAACGAGCTCCAAACTGATCAACTATCTGCTGGATCACTGAATTTATAGGCTTTCTACCATAGCTTGAAATCACTTTCGTACCAGACCGTGTCAGGAATTACCAGGTATACCCTGTTCTAGTTGATCATTGTTTTTATTTTGTTGTTGTTTTTTTTTCGATGTCAAACCTCGTATATATTTGTAACCTTTTTGTACCAGGACGTATAACCAATTACATCATCTTTGGATATCCGGTAGAGCCAAGTATTGGGTGACACTGATATCGGGTAGTCACCCTTGGAATTTTCAAGGAAGCAACGGTCAACGATATTCTCTCTCTATCTCTCTCTCTCTCTTTCTCTCTCTCTCTCTCTCTCTCTCCCTCTCATCCGCTTTCTAAACAAAATTACATTGATTCGAAAGCCATTAAGAAAGTTGTCAAAAAAATCTGGGCAACATCATTATAACAATCATAATCATCCCCATTATCATCATCATAATTAATGTATTGGTTATATAGATTAAGCTATGTCAATGATTTTGAACATGAATGTGATATTTCGAATCTTTTAGAAATAGAAACAGGGGATAAAGTGAATGTTTTTGTTATGAAAGTGAAAGATTACTATCGTTTGTTATTAAGTCAAGAGAACCAAATTTCATTTATTTTTGGAATTCCTTTTTAGATTGAGATAATGACTTTGTTTGGAAGGATGTATTTTCATTTAATTAAAGCAAATTCGTAATAATAAAGTTAAACAATTTAATTTCAAGATGATTCACAGGTTTGTTGCCTCAAAAGAAAACTTATATTAATGGCAAGTTGTGAATAATTTATGCAACTCTTGTGGACAAGTTGACTCAACTTTTCACTTTATGTTATATTGTAAGGATGTGACTTTGTTTTGGAAAATTATATTTAATTTGATAATTAATATGATAAAGCTATAAGTCGTAAATAAGGACATTGGAAACAAGAAATATTCTCTCCTGAACATTATTTTAAATTATGCGCAATATGCAAATTTATAAGTGTTAAGTTAAAAAGATTGTTAATGGTTCTGTTTATTACCCAAAGACTTTTTTAAAGTTTAAGTCGTTGCTAAGAGTGCAGCGTTTAGACAAATAAAAATGCAATAATCTTCTCGCTCGGGAGCTATGTCCCTCGCATAATATTCTTCAAAGTGTACAGTAAATATTCTTGAAAAGTGAAGTGTGAAAAAGATATATTGCTTGTTTTTATATTTTGTTAATACAACAAAACTTCAAAAACCTGCGGTGGGGGGGGGGGGGTAGTCACTTCCGTCACCTTCACCCCTCTCGTTCACTATGCTCCCTCGCCCTGGCGTAATGATGGGGGGATTGGGGGTAGTTGCCCCTTAATAAAGTTCAAACTTGATTTTTTTCTAACTCGATACCAGTGATTTACAAATGTTTCTGAAATGGCATGGTTTTCCCTAATAAATGCCTAAAAACCCTGAGCTGAGCCCACGCCAATTTAAGCTCCACTTGCTTCGCTCGCTTTGCTCTACCTGATCGAAGCCCCCCCCCCCCATACTTTGAAAAACGTTCCGCAGGGCGTGCATGTACCATGTAAGAGTGGGGTTGCGGATTTTCTCCCCCCCCCCCCCCCGAAAAAAAAAAAAAAAAAAAAACGTTTTTGATCATTATACGCCGCCGTCCCTCGCATTTCGTCCCCCCCCCCCCGGTCATGAAAAGAAATCGCCGCCCCTGGCAATCACCCTAGGAATTTGTGAGGTAGCTAACGGTCATCGGTTTCTCTCTCTCTTTCTCTGCCTGCCTGTCTCTCTCTCTCTCTCCTCTCCTTTTATCTGAAAATTGCATGGATTCGAAAGCCATTTAACAAAGTTATCAAAGAATCTAGGCATTAAAAACATTATTAAAACAATCATTACCATTACCATTATCATCATCATTATCATCATCACTACTAATCTCATTATCTTTTTCTCCTTCATCATGCAGGCATCATCATCATCAGAGGCGGCCCTCCTGGGGGCGGGGGTGGGCATAGTGCCCCCCCCCCACTTTTTCAAGTATCCCAAAAGTGCCCCTTTTTACATACGAAAAGTCCCCCTTGAACCTCGTAAGAAGTGCCCCTTCTACTTTGAAAAGTGCCCCTATTCCATTATAAACATGCCCCTCTCCCTTTCCACCTCAGATAAGTGCCCCTTTTTGGACACGTGCCCCTTTTCCTTCGACAGTTTTTCCTGTTTCCCTTTGCAATTATTGTCAATTTTTCCATTCTCATAAGTGCCTTTATTAACCTCAAGTAAGTGCCCCGTTTCAGGTACGAGAAATGCCCCTTTTCACTTTTGATTAAACGCTCTCTCGCATTTATAAATGATATAAATATGTTACTTATCAAAGGTCATTTCAGTCTTCTGTTATGAAAATGTGCTTATAACTCCATCAGAATTTGTTCTTCTTCTTTATAAGATGTAATTTTTCGCACTGCGACCTCACACCCAACTGCAAAGTACAATACTTAAGCAATATACTGTATAATGTATACAGAGAAACAAATATCGAAATCATCCCTGATAATGTAATCACAATGTAGGGGTATATACCAATGTCTAAAAAATGTGTATATTTTTGCTTTGAGATTTCCCATTGTAGGGGTGCCCTTTTTTTTCTCTAGAAAGTGCCCCTTTTTGTTGGTGCCCCCCCCCCCAACTTTGTAAATCACTCGGCCGCCCCTGATCATCATCATCATCATCATCAATGCAATCGATTCATATAGATGGTCATTATTCGAGGGATTTCTTTTCAAAATTTATTTCGTTTTTATTTGATTTCATAACTCGGAGCAAGAGGAATTTCGTAACACAACATTGCAGCTCATATTTTGTACGTAATAGGCCAACTGTTATGGAAATTTTGCGAACAAATGGAAAGTTACAAATGTTTTGATATGACGTTTTAAAACTAGATTTAAACAAAGGTAACTTCATTCTTTCTATTTCGGAAATTAAAAAAGTAATTCAGGACATCCGTTGAATCAGCCCCTATAGCTCGTATCATGTGATACCAGTTACAATTACAATAATTGCTTGTTTATATCCACATTCAAAAGTTAAGCTAATGGTATATAATGCAATATGAATGAATTGTAATTGCGTTCCTTGAAAATTATTTCGTCTCCCACAATTACAATTTGATATGTTACATACCTTTGCTCTTTGGCAGGTAGTCTGTTTGAGTGTTTGACTATATTGGACAAAACATTTCTGTGTCAGAACAGCATTTAGTTTTTGTTTTCCAGTATCAAATTTATTATTTTGAATATCTATTTATCAAAGGGTCGTGATGAATAAACCTCTGGGGTAGCGAGCCTTCGGAAAACTGAAAAATCAATAATACTTTTTACATGGACGGTATATGTAAATCTAGCAAGAGCCTAGCATTTGCCTTTCCCTTGGCTAATTGCCTAAACCAGCGTTTTTCAATCGATGTACTGCAAGACATCTCTAAGGTGCCACGAAAGAATTTAAATAATATATACAATTACAAAATAAATATATTGGAATTACGTCGATTTCTTGAAAATCTTAACAACCACAAATGTTTGTCTTCTTTCCATATGATGTAATATAGCTTTATTTCATTTTATCCGAAAATGATTAAATAATAGAGTTTTATCTGTTGTGCTTGTTAGTTTGATTCACTTTCAAATGTTCTTTTAATGAATTAAATAAAATAAAATTGTAATCATATCCTTAACTGTAATAATGCAGTATCTTGACCAGCCACATTTGATTTTTTTATAGATATATATCATTTCTGGCAGTTTATGCACTAGTAACAATTCTTATTACCAATTTTAATTTGAAGTATATTTACAGTACTCTTGTTTGGACACTCATGATTATTGTTATTCATATAAATATACTTTTTCGGCAGTACTATTCTATCGTTATTTTTTTAGATATTTATCTTGATTATTTCATATTTTGATGTACCATTATCATTTTTATGTTAATTCGATGTATTTACATTGTTTCATACGGCCCAATGGAAATCAGACTTGTAACTTTTGGGGCTTTTTTAACCGTGTATAAATAAAGATATCAAACTTAAGTATGTCATCTCATGAAAATAGCATTTTACTGGACAGAAAATTGTCTTTCTTCCTTGGTCACTTTGCTCCTTCGCAACACTTAGAAACATGATGATTTCTGGCAGCAAAGTGCCTCCATATTTGAGCATTGAGGTGCCCGAGTAGCCTATTTGATACCACGCTCGTTCTCTTCACTCGCTCGCAACATTTAAAAACTGGATAATTCTGGGCAATGAGATGCCCGAATTCCCTCATATTCGTGCTTCGAATTGGCCACACGTAATGATTTTTGTAATTATGTATTCGGCAGCGAGGTGCCTGCACGCTTAATTCTATATTTTATTTAGTGGGTTGACTATAAAGTCAATTATTATCATATTAAAAAGAGTTATTTTATTTTTTGCTCGCTCGCTCGCAAAATATAAAAACAAATGAGCTCATGTGTACAGTGATGGAGCAGGACGAGTGTCAGAGTGATGTTAAATGAATATTCTGTAAATTAATTTGGGATTAGGGTGATGCGAAACCTTGTTTTTTTTTTTAAAGGGTGCCTTGACTTAAAAAAAAAGTTGAAAAACTTTGGCCTAAACCTTGATCTAATTCAATGAACTAAAATTTCTTACAAAAAGAAGCAAAACTTTGTGTTCTTGCTGGAAATGGCCTCCCCAGACAAGAAATTAGTCGAGTAAATGGGGAGGCATGGGAATCGACGGGACACCTCCTCCGCCAATCGAAAGCCAAAACATTATTTTTTAAATTAAAGAGTTGAAGAAGAAGAAGAGAAAAAAAAGGAAAAAAAAAACAGGAGGTAACAGAATTTAGATAGAAAAGGAGTAGCAGAGCTGAAGAAGAACAAGACAGGAACTGCTTAACCCTTACCACAACCTCGGAGATACTTAAGTAGTAATATATAGCAGTAGTAGTAGTAGCAGTAGCAGCGGCAATATAATAGTAGTAGTAGTAGTATAAAAGCGTAGTAGCAGTAGTAGTAGTAGTATTAGCAGGCGCGCCGGAAGCAGTTTGGGATGGGGGGGGGGGGGAAACATTCCAGGGGGCTCACATTCTAGGGGCAGTGACGTAGTGAGAAAAAAGTTCGGAAGGGGGGGGGGTAGACGAAAAATCTGCATCACCACCAGTCTTACACGTTACATGCAGGTCCCGCGGAACGTTTTTCAAAGTGGAGTATTATCGATCAGGTAGAGCGTAAATTGGCGTGGGGTCCAGGGCATGAGCCTCGGCAGGGGGTCAAGGGGCTGAGCCCCCGGAAGCTCAGGGGTTTTAGGTATTTAATTACGGTCAGATAAGCATCCAGGGGCCCTCTGTAAGTCAATTAACTTGATCCAAGGGGGGAGAGCCCCAAGAAGCTCAGAGGTTTAAATATATAACTACAGTCAGATGAGCATCCAGGGGCCATCTTAGGGCCCTTGGTGTGGTCCAGGGGGCAGAGCCCCGGAAGCTCAGGGGTTTTAGGTATTTAATTACGGTCAAATGAGCATCCAGGGCCCGCCTTAGGGCCCTTGGTGTGGTCCAGGGGGCAGAGCCCCCGGAAGCTCAGGGGTTTTAGGTATTTAATTAAGGTCAGATGAGCATCCAGGGGCCCGTCTTAGGTCCCTTGGTGGGGTTCGGGGGCGGAGCCCCCGTAAGCTCTGGGGTTTTAAGCATTTAATTACGGTCAGATGAGCATGTTTTATACCTTATTTGTGACATTGGCAGGTCACTTATTTTTTCTCCGTCTTTCTTTCTTTTTCTCTTTAACATACTTTTTTTCAAAAAGGAGAGGGGTGGGGTGCCCGAGCCCAGCCACTTTGCAGACCATGACATAAAGGCTTCTAAATAAGCGTATTTCGCCTGACTGTAATTTTGGAATTTCTTATTTTCCAACAAACGCATAAAAAGGTATGACTTACAAAAAACAAAAACAAAAAATGCCGGAAAATCATGTCACAACATCAACATTTGTAAATCACTTGTTTCGAATAAGAAATACATCACCCCCCCCCCCCATCAGTACACCAGCGTTCAGGGGCTCATGTCTTCTCGCCCCTATAACAAAAAAACGGACACGCTTTCCCATTCTCGCACAATATGTCCACGATATGCGCGTATCGCTATTATAGAGACCTCGATTGATAAATACCATATAGGTGGCATGCGCAATGTTTATGAAATTTAATTCCTGTGAACTTTCCTTTTTCTTTGAATGGAATTGTATATGTGATTTAATTCAGGTTTTTATTATTGTTACGTTCTTTTGGATTGAAAATACAAACCATGTTTACTCCTTTACTGTATTTAGGGGTTTTTTTTGGAGGGGGGGGCGTTTTTTTTTTTTTGGGGGGGGGGGGGCAAAAATGCGTTTTGCCCCCCCCCCCACATTTTTGACTGGGGGGGGGGCAACTGCCCCCCCCCCCCACTTCCGGCGCCTATGAGTAGTAGTAGTAGTAATAGTAGTAGTAGTATAAAAGCCTAGTAGTAGTAGTAGTAGTAGTAGTAGTAGTAGTGGAAATTGAAGTGGTGGTAGGCTCAGTAGTATAGTACTACAACTATATACTACTGCTAGTATTACTATCTCTTTCTGTTTTCATACACCTCCCCCCCCCCCCCGTCCTCTCTCTGTGTCTCTTTCTCTCTATATATATATATATATATATATATATATTTATATATTTATAATCTCTATTTATCTATCTTCTTCTTCTCTCTTTCTCTCTCCCTCTACCTTTTCTATTTGTTTGACCCCCCCCCTCTCTCTCTCTCTTGCTCTCTCTTTCTTTCTCTCTCATTCCCATCTTTCTCTGTCTGTCTCCCTCTGCCTTTCTCTCTATCTATCTCTCTTTTCTCTCTTCAATCAATCAATATCGTGATCAATCCAGCTGCATAAAGAAAATATTAGGGGCTTTAATATAGAACCCTTCACAAGTATTTGTATGATTTCAGTTGTATATTTTATTTAACAAGACTTCGAAAATTCAGTACAAAATTAGATTTTGATAATTTATCAAAATTTCATTCACCTTTCACTGGCTTCCAGTTTCTTGTATCTGGATTTTTTAGACAAAATTCTGTTGTAGGCTCTGGTACTAAAGATATGCATTCTGTCCAATGAAAGACATTGGTGACTATATTAGTATATTAACACAAGCAATTTTTGTTTAAACAAATTCTATACCTCGGCGACCACATTGATGTCTTCTTCATTGACTGCGATCTCGACCACTTAAGGTGGTGAAGATGTCGTTACGCTTTCCGTCGTTGGATGCTCCTTCTCCTCACTTTCATTCTCACCCCAACGTCCTCGGTTACCATAGGGCCGACGTTGGCCATCACGCCTGGGAGATCCTTCTTCGGTTCCGTTGCGTCTGTCGAAGGGACGGTCTCCGAAAGGCTTTCTACCGAACGGGTTGAACCGGAAGGGCCTCATCTCAAACATTGGTCTGTCCTGATCTCCATCTCCGGTCTTGTTGTGATGACGGTGGGGGTGATCTCCTGTCTCATTGTGACCTTGGTGACCTTCTGTGTGGTTGCGATGATGATGCTGGTGGTGGCGGCCATGGTGGCGAGGGTGAGGACGGCCATCCTCATCGCTGCTTTCGTTGCGCTGACCGAACGGTTGTTCCTCTGGTCGGTCCTGAGGAGGACCTTGACGGTGACCATGATGTCCACGTCCATGACCATCAAACTGACCGCGCCCTCCTAGACCATCACCAATTTGTTGGGCAGCATCAGTTTCTTCTTCTCCATCACCACGCCTGCCTCCTTGGCCGAAGAAAGGTCTTCCTCCAGCACCATCTGGTCTGGAGCCACCAAATCGAGGTCCGTCGAATCTCCTACCACCCATCGGACCGCCATTTTGTCTGCGTCCTTCCATTTGTGGGGCACCAGATTCAGGTCCATCGAACCTCCTTCCACCCATTTGTCCACCATCTTGCCTAGGACTACCCATCTGCATTCCACCAGGCCTTCCTCCAAAGCCACCTTGTCCTCTCTCTGTGTCATTCTCCTTTCCTCGTCGTTCATTGAAATCTCTTTGTGCGTGAGCTGTTGGGATAATGAAATAGTCGAATTTATTAATAAAATTAATCACATTCTGCATTATTATCTTTAGCTCTACATTGGTTTATGCTAGGAGATTTGTCTTCTTCGATGTCTGGTCCCGTTATGTTTAACTCTACCAGAATGCATGCATGCGGTTGGATATTCAAAACGCCTAATTCTAAACGAATTGAATATGAAAACCAGATTGTAAAGAACCATGAAACATTTTTTTCATAAAAAAAAAACAGAATGCTGCAGGCCGAAGAATAAATGTTATTTTTATTGTGTTACAAACAAGTTAGAAACACCTTTTATAATAAATCAAAATAATAATATGCTACTGTGAGTCATTTGTTGGCTTAATATTTAACACTTATGAAGGAATACCGAGTAATAATTTGATTTCTTACCCGAGATAGCAAGAGCAGCCACAATGGCAACGATCAGTGTCACTTTCACCTCCATGTTTGTAAGGTATCTCCGATGCTACAAGCTTTCTCTAGATTCGTAGCCTTCTATAAGAGAACGAGCTCCAAACTGATCAACTATCTGCTGGATCACTGAATTTATAGGCTTTCTACCATAGATTGAAATCACTTTCGTACCAGACCGTGTCAGGAATTATCAGGTTTACCCTGGTCTAGTTTTTTCTGTTTATTTTTCGTTTTTTTTCTCGTTTTTTTTTCTTCAATATCAATGTTGATATGTTTAACCTTTATCCTATACTTAGACTTATCAACCACTGTTTTGGAGAGTGTTGTACCAGTACGTAAAAACAATTACATCATCTTCGGATATCCGCTAGAGCCATGTATTGGGTGGCACTGATGTCGTGGTGTAGTACAGTAGGAAGCACCGGTAACTGGTCTCTTTCTCTCTCTCTCTCTCTCTCTCTCTCTCTCTCTCTCTCTCTCTCTCTTTTGTATCCCCCTATCCTTCTATCTGAAAAATTGCATGGATTCGAAAGCCATTTAACAAAGTTTTAAAAAAGGTCATTTGGCGGACGGTATCTGAATTTCAAAGAGAAAATCACATTTCTAGAAAGTTTAGTTTCTGCCCTTTCACATGACACATCAGTCAGGAAAAGTGAGCTAGGAATAACAAAGTTCTGTTTGTTTAAAGTAGTGCTTGCATTTTCATAATTTTATCAAACGAATTCGTTTTCATTGGCTGCCTGCCGTAGCAACAAGCAGAACTGACAAAAGATTTAACTCCGTTTCGTTGACAATCAACCATGCATGAAGTCTTTCGTCTACGGCTGATTGTCAACGAAACGGAGTTTTAGTCTTTTGTTAATTCCGTTTGTTGCTACGGCGGGCAGCTTTAATGTGCATTAAATGAGTTGCATCAAATGAAAGAGGAGGATCTAAGCTTTCCAAATATGTGTCATTTATTAATTATAAATGTGACTAAGTTATGATAAAACATCAATAACTCTCGGTTTCGTATTTTTCTGGGACGCACTGTATTGCTCCTGCTACCACTTCTGACGCTAGATTACTACTATAAAAACTACCATTTCTTAACTATCTCTTTTTCTACCTTAAGAGTCCTGGAAATGAAATTAAAATTAACAAGGCAACCGTCGGGTAGTTTCCTTTTTCGTCATCTTAGAGCTCTCTCTCTCTCCCCTTTTCTATCGAAATAATTTTACTTTGTGTTTTGTAAATTTATTTGTTTATTTGTTGTTGCTTTTTGCTTTCGGTTGGGCGGGGGACGTGTCCCAATGCCTCCCTTTTTCTACGTCGCTTATTGCTTGTCTGGGGAAGCCATTTCCAGCAAGAACACGTCAAGCTTTTGCTTTAGTTCGTTGAATTAGCCCAATACATGTATTTAGGCAATTAGCCAAGCGAAAGGCAAATGCTAGTCTCTTGCTAGATTTACATATACCGTCCAGGTACGAAATACAATGGATTTTCCGTTTTTTAAAGGCTCTCTTACCCGGATGTAATGCGCGAGACCAGTGGCGTTATGAGCAAAAGCGTTTGGGAGGGGGCAGAAGAAAAAAAATCCGCGTCACCACCACTCTTATAATGTCCCATGCATGCCCCGCGGAACGTTGGGGAGGGGGGGGGTCTAAAATATCAATGATCAGGTAGAGCGTAGCGAGCCCCCTTAATCTCAGGGGTTTAGGCTTTAAATTACAGTCAAATGAGCATTCAGGGGCCCGCCTAAGGGCCCTAAGTGGGGTCCAGGGGCAGAGCCCCCGGAAGTTCAGGGGTTTTAGGCATTTAATTACGGTCAGATGAGCATCCAGGGGGCGTAACCCCCGCAAGCTCAGGGGTTTTATAGGTATTTAAGGTCAGATGAGCATATTTTGATACCTCATTTATGAAACTGGAAGGGTTGTGAATATCAGTATAGTAGGGAAACTTTAGTAAGTAGGATAGAGTTTGTGCACGAATTGGATCTCTATTTCCACTCTAGGCCTTTGCCCTTTACGTGTATATTGATATCGAAATGTCAAATATAATTCTGGCAAATATATAAATGTTGTAGTGACTCCTTACCGAAAAGAGCAAGCGGATTAATATTCATTTTTGTAGCACTGATCTTTTTCTATAACTCTTCACTTTGTAAACAAACAGTGTAAACTGACATGGTGACAACGGATTACAGATTTTCTTCAATATTTACTTGTACATTTTGAAGGATATTATAAGAGGGAGAATAGAGACCGAGCGAGATGATTTTTGCATTTTGATTAGTCTAAACGCTGCACACTTGAGCCCCCAGAGCCTAGAAGTGTGTTGCAGTATTGGCAGTCAGTATTTCCCATATACATTTTGTTTTGGTGTGCACTTTTTCAAATTTTCTGGGGGGGGGGGACGATCCCCCTAAAAATATTAAAGAGGGACGTGTCCCCCCGTCCCCCTGGGATCGCCACCCCTGCCTATACCATTAGGTTAACTTCAGAATGTGGATATAAACATGCAATTATTGTAATTGTAACCGGGGTATGACCTGATACGAACTATATGAGCTGATTCAACGGATGTCCTGAAGGACTTTTTAATTTCCGAAATAGAAAGAATGAAGTGACCTTTTTCTAGATCTAGTTTTACTACGTCATATGAAATCGTTTTCAACTTTCCATTTGTTCGCAGTATCACCATATAACAGTAGGCCTATTTAGTAGAAATATGAGCTTCAATGTTGTGTTATGAAATTCCTCTTGCTTCGAGTTATGAAATCATAAAAAAGGAATAATCATTTGGAAAAAAAATCACTTGAATATATTTAATCGATTGCGTTGATGATGATGATGATGCCTGCACGATGAAGGATAAAAAGATAATAACACTAGTGATGATAATGAAAATGATGATTAGAAAATTGATGATGATTGTTTTGATGATGTTGTTATTGCCTAGATTCTTTGATAACTTTGTTAAATGGCTTTCGAATCAATGCAATTTTTCAGATAGAAGGATCGGGGGAGAGAAGGAGAAGGAGAGATAGAGAGAGATAGAGAGAGAGATACTCAGACGGACAGACAGGCAGGCAGACAGACAGAGAAAGAGGGAGAGAAACCGATGACCGTTAGCTCCCTCGCAAACTCAAAGGGTGACTACTGTACTACGCCGCGACATCGGTGTCACCCAATACATGGCTCTACCGGATATCCGAAGATGAAGTGATTGGTTTTGGTACTAGTACGTACAACGCACTCTCCAAATTAGTGGTTGATAAAAGGTTAAAGATATTAACAAAGTATGAAAATAAAGATAAAAAGGGGGGAGATCAACTGGACCAGGGTATCCCTGGTAATTCCTGACACCGTCTGGTACGAAAGTGATTTCAATCTATGATAGAAAGCCTATAAATTCAGTGATCCAGCAGATAGTTATTCAGTTTGGAGCTCGTTCTCTCTTAGAAGACAACGAATCTAGAGAAAGCTATAGCATCGGAGAGACCTATTACTAACATGGTGAAAGTGACACTGATCGTTGCCATTGTGGCTGCTCTTGTTATCTCAGGTAAGAAATCAAATTATTACTCGGTATTACTTGATAAGTGCTAAATATAGAGCCAACGAATAGCTCACAGAAGTATATATGATTATTTCATATTTTATAATATGCATTTCTAAATTGTTCGTTACAAAATATAATTTATATTATTTCTTAAGCCTACACCAATCCGTTAGGCGAGTGGCAAAAGATAAGAATTATCTTTATGTTCAATCTGGTATTCAAGTTCAATTCAGTCAGAATTAGGCGTTTTGAATATCGAACCGATAGGGTTAAACACAAAGGGAAAAAACATCAAAGAAGGCGAGTTACCATTCTTATTTGTCACCTGCCATAACCCAATGTAGAGCTAAAGATAATAATGCAGAATGTGATCACTTAATTAATTCGATTTTTTTCTTCATTATCCCCTACAGCTCACGCACAAAGAGATTACAATGAACTACGAGGAAATAAGAATGGCAGAGAGAGAGGACAAGGTCGCTTTGGAGGAAGGCCGGGTGGAATGCAGATGGGTGGATCGAGGCAAGATGGTGGACCAATGGGTGGGAGAAGGTTCGATGGACCTGACTCTGGTGCCCCACAAATGGATGGACGGAGACAAGATGGTGGACCAATGGGTGGAAGGAGGTTCGATGGACCTGGATTTGGTGCCCCGGAGATGGATGGACGGAGACAAAATGGCGGTCCGATGGGTGGAAGGAGATTCGACGGACCTGGATTTGGTGGCTCCAGACCAGATGGTGCTGGAGGAAGACCTTTCTTCGGCCAAGGAGGCAGGCGTGGTGATGGAGAAGAAGAAACTGATGCTGCCCAACAAATTGGTGATGGTCTAGGAGGGCCCGGTCAGTTTGATGGTCCTGGACGTCGTCATCATGGTCACCGTCAAGGTCATCCTCAGGACCAAGCAGAGGAACAACCGTTTGGTCAGCGCAACGAAAGCAGCGAGGAGGATGGCCGTCCTCACCCTCACCACCATCGCCACCATGGCCGCCACCACCGTCATCATAACCACACAGAAGGTCACCAAGGTCATAATGAGACGGGAGATCAAGATCAGGACAAACTACATGATACAAGGCCCTTCCGGTACAACCACTTCGGTAGAAAGCCTTTCGGAGACCGTCCCTTCGGCAGACGCAACCATACAGAAGGTCACCAGGGTCATAATGAGACGGGAGACCACCCCCATCGTCATCACAACAAGACCAGAGATGGAGATCAGGACAGACCAATGTTCGAGATGAGGCCTTTCCGGTTCAACCCCTTCGGTAGAAAGCCTTTCGGAGGCCGTCCCTTCGACAGACGCAACGGAACCGAAGAAGGATCTCCCAGGCGTGATGGCCATCGTCGGCCCTATGGTAACCGAGGACGTTGGGGTGAGAATGAAAGTGAGGAGAAGGAGCATCCAACGACGGAAAGCGTAACGACATCTTCACCACCTGAAGTGGTCGCAATCAATGAAGAAGACATCAATGTGGTCGCCGAGGTGTAGAATTTGTTTTTAAAATATTGCTTGTGTAAATATATTGATAATAGTCATCAATGTCTTTCCTTGGACAGAATGCATATCTTACCAGAGACAGCAGCATGGATTGTGTCTAAAAATTCAGATACAAGAGACTGAAAGCCAGTGAAAGGTGCATGAAAATGCTGACGAATTATCAAACTCTTATTTATACTGAATTTTTATACTAAATATATATAATTGAAATCGTACAAATACTTGTGAAGCGTTCAATATTAAAGCCCCTTATATTTTCACTATGCAGCTGTGATTGGTTGAAGAGGTAAAAGAGAGATAGATAGAGAGAAAGGCAGAGGGAGACAGACAGAGAAAGATGGGAGTAAGAGAGAAAAGAGAGAGAGAGAGGGAGAGAGAGAGAGAGAGAGAGAGAGAGAGAGAGGGGTGAAATAGATAGAAAAGGTAGAGAAAGCAAGGGACAGACAGAAATAGAGATGGATAGAGATAGATCACTGAGATAGAGAAAGGGGGAGAGAGAGAGAGACATACACAGAGAGAAACAAAGAGATAAAGAGATGGGAGTGAGAGAGAGAGAAAGACAGAGACAGAGACAGAGAGAGACAGACAGAGGGAGAAGATAGTATACAAATATTGACTGCTCATGAGGATGATGGTGGGAACTATCACTTTAGAATTTTTTAAAATTTAGACCCCAAAAATATCAATTTTTATCTAAAAAGATTTGAAATATTTTGTTTTCATTAAATTAAGATTTGAAAAAGAAAAGAAAAAATTATATTAAAAAAAAAAAAAATCCACATTTTTTTTCTAACTCCCAAATAGTACACTCATATACAGTAGTACTTTAATAGATGAAATGTTTCTGGTCACGTGACGAGCTCTCAACCAATCTGCTTTCTTGTTCTCTTTCCGCTCTGCGACTCCTTTTCTATCTAAAAACGGTTACCTCTGGGTTTTTGTGTTTTATTTTGTTTGTTATAAAACAATGTTTTGGCTTTCGATTGGGCGGAGGATATGCCCGTGCCTCCCCATTTACTTGACTAATTGCTAGTCTGGGGAAGCCATTTCCAGCAAGAACACAAGCTTTTGTTTCTTCTTGTAAGAAATTATAGTTCATTGGATTAGATCAAGGTGAAGGCCAGCGTTTTTTTACCCTTTTTGTTTTAGTCAAGGCACCTTTTTAAGAAACAAAAAGGTTTCGCGTCACCCTAATTCCAAATTAATTTACAAAAGATTCATTTGATATCACTCTGACACTCGTCCCGCTCCATGACACTTTTAATACGATAAAAATTGACTTTATAGTCAACACACTAGATAAAATATAGAATTAAATGTCCAGGCACCTCGCTGCCGAATACATTGATACAAAACTCAATATGTGCAGTCAATTCGAAGCACGAATATGAGGAGATTCAGGCATCTCATTGCCCAGAATTATCCCTAAATGTTGCGAGCGGGTGAAGGGAACGAGCGTGGTAAAATTGAAGTTTTCATATAAAAGATATAACACATAATTATGTGGGCGCCTAACTGTCAAATAGAAGGCTATTCGGGCACCTCAATGCTCAAATATTAAGGCACTTCGTTGATAGAAATCATCATGTTTCTAAGTCTTGCGAAGGAGTGAAGCGAGTAAGGAAGAAAGACAATTTTCTATCCAGTAAATTGCTATTTCCTCATGAAATTACATACTGTACTTCAGTGGTCGTTAAGGTTTTCAAGAAATCGACGTTATTCCAAGAATTTTTTTTAAAATCTTATATATTCTTCAAATTCTTTTGTGGTACCCTAAAAATGTCTTGGGGCACATCGGTTGAAAAACGCTGGATTAGGCAATTAGCCTAGGAAAATGTAAAGGTAGGCTCTTGCTAGATTTACATATGCCGTCCATGTCAAAAGAATTATTGATTTTTCAGTTTTTCGAAGGCTCACTACCCCGGATGTTTATTTATCACGACCCTTCGATAAATACATATTTAGACTAATAAATTCGGTACTAAAAACAGAACAGAAATGCGGTTCTTACACAAAAATTTTGTAATTGTGGGAGACGAAATAATTTTCAAGGGACGCAATTGCAATTCATTCACAATGCATTATATACCATTAGGTTAACTTCAGAATGTGGATATAATTATGTAATCATTGGAATTGTAACTAATATGAGTTGATACGAACGAGGGGTTGTTTCAACGGATGTCCTGGATTACTTTTTAATTTCCAAATGATTATGATGATGATGATAATGATGATGGTGATGATAGTGATGATAATGGTAATGATGATGATGATGATGCTGATAATGGTGATGATTATGATTGGTATGATGATGATGATGACGACTGTAAGATAACGAAGAAAATGATGACTAGAATATTGATGATGATAATGGTAATGATAACGATTGTAATGATGATGTTGTTATTGCCTAGATTCTTTGACAACATTGTTAAATGGCTTTCGAATCAATGCAATTTTTCAGATAGAAGGATCGGGGGAGAGAAGGAGAAGGAGAAGGAGAGAGAGAGAGAGAGAGAGAGAGAGAGAGAGAGACACTCAGACGGACAGGGAGGCAGGCAGGCAGACTGAGAAAGAGAGAGAGAAACCGATGACCGTTAGCTCCCTCGCAAACTCAAAGGGTGACTACTGTACTACGCCGCGACATCGGTGTCACCCAATACATGGCTCTACCGGATATCCGAAGATAAGTAATTGGTTTTGGTACTAGTACGTACAACGCACTCTCCAAATTAGTGGTTGATAAAAGGTTAAAGATATTAACAAAGTATGAAAATAAAGATAAAAAGGGGGGAGATCAACTGGACCAGGGTATCCCTGGTAATTCCTGACACGGACTGGTACGAAAGTGATTTCAAGCTATGATAGAAAGCCTATAAATTCAGTGATCCAGCAGATAGTTATTCAGTTTGGAGCTCGTTCTCTCTTAGAAGACAACGAATCTAGAGAAAGCTATAGCATCGGAGAGACCTATTACTAACATGGTGAAAGTGACACTGATCGTTGCCATTGTGGCTGCTCTTGCTATCTCAGGTAAGAAATCAAATTATTACTCGGTATTACTTGATAAGTGCTAAATATAGAGCCAACGAATAGCTCACAGAAGTATATATGATTATTTCATATTTTATAATATGCATTTCTAAATTGTTCGTTACAAAATATAATTTATATTATTTCTTAAGCCTACACCAATCCGTTGGGCGAGTGGCAAAAGATAAGAATTATCTTTATGTTCAATCTGGTATTCAAGTTCAATTCAGTCAGAATTAGGCGTTTTGAATATCGAACCGATAGGGTTAAACACAAAGGGAAAAAACATCAAAGAAGGCGAGTTACCATTCTTATTTGTCACCTGCCATAACCCAATGTAGAGCTAAAGATAATAATGCAGAATGTGATCACTTAATTAACTCGATTTTTTTTCTTCATTATCCCCTACAGCTCACGCACAAAGAGATTACAATGAACTACGAGGAAATAAGAATGGCAGAGAGAGAGGACAAGGTCGCTTTGGAGGAAGGCCGGGTGGAATGCAGATGAGTGGATCGAGGCAAGATGGTGGACCAATGGGTGGGAGAAGGTTCGATGGACCTGACTCTGGTGCCCCACAAATGGATGGACGGAGACAAGATGGTGGACCAATGGGTGGAAGGAGGTTCGATGGACCTGGATTTGGTGCCCCGGAGATGGATGGACGGAGACAAAATGGCGGTCCGATGGGTGGAAGGAGATTCGACGGACCTGGATTTGGTGGCTCCAGACCAGATGGTGCTGGAGGAAGACCTTTCTTCGGCCAAGGAGGCAGGCGTGGTGATGGAGAAGAAGAAACTGATGCTGCCCAACAAATTGGTGATGGTCTAGGAGGGCCCGGTCAGTTTGATGGTCCTGGACGTCGTCATCATGGTCACCGTCAAGGTCATCCTCAGGACCAAGCAGAGGAACAACCGTTTGGTCAGCGCAACGAAAGCAGCGAGGAGGATGGCCGTCCTCACCCTCACCACCATCGCCACCATGGCCGCCACCACCGTCATCATAACCACACAGAAGGTCACAAAGGTCATAATGAGACGGGAGATCAAGATCAGGACAAACTACATGATACAAGGCCCTTCCGGTACAACCACTTCGGTAGAAAGCCTTTCGGAGACCGTCCCTTCGGCAGACGCAACCATACAGAAGGTCACCAGGGTCATAATGAGACGGGAGAACACCCCCATCGTCATCACAACAAGACCAGAGATGGAGATCAGGACAGACCAATGTTCGAGATGAGGCCTTTCCGGTTCAACCCCTTCGGTAGAAAGCCTTTCGGAGGCCGTCCCTTCGACAGACGCAACGGAACCGAAGAAGGATCTCCCAGGCGTGATGGCCATCGTCGGCCCTATGGTAACCGAGGACGATGGGGTGAGAGTGAAAGTGAGGAGAAGGAGCATCCAACGACGGAAAGCGTAACGACATCTTCACCACCTGAAGTGGTCGCAATCAATGAAGAAGACATCAATGTGGTCGCCGAGGTGTAGAATTTGTTTTTAAAATATTGCTTGTGTAAATATATTGATAATAGTCATCAATGTCTTTCCTTGGACAGAATGCATATCTTACCAGAGACAGCAGCATGGATTGTGTCTAAAAATTCAGATACAAGAGACTGAAAGCCAGTGAAAGGTGCATGAAAATGCTGACGAATTATCAAACTCTTATTTATACTGAATTTTTATACTAAATATATATAATTGAAATCGTACAAATACTTGTGAAGCGTTCAATATTAAAGCCCCTTATATTTTCACTATGCAGCTGTGATTGGTTGAAGAGGTAAAAGAGAGATAGATAGAGAGAAAGGCAGAGGGAGACAGACAGAGAAAGATGGGAGTAAGAGAGAAAAGAGAGAGAGAGAGGGAGAGAGAGAGAGAGAGAGAGAGAGAGAGAGAGAGAGGGGTGAAATAGATAGAAAAGGTAGAGAAAGCAAGGGACAGACAGAAATAGAGATGGATAGAGATAGATCACTGAGATAGAGAAAGGGGGAGAGAGAGAGAGACATACACAGAGAGAAACAAAGAGATAAAGAGATGGGAGTGAGAGAGAGAGAAAGACAGAGACAGAGACAGAGAGAGACAGACAGAGGGAGAAGATAGTATACAAATATTGACTGCTCATGAGGATGATGGTGGGAACTATCACTCCCAAGGTGGTGC